ACTGGCTGAATTGATTATGATGATAAATGTTTAACACATCATTTTGAAAACACTTAAATTACCCATAACGATTTTTCTAATTTATTGTGAAAACAAAGTTCAGTCCTCCAATGTGGCTTTGGATGAGAAAGTCACAGATGAAGTATAATTTGACTCTCTATTTGTACATTGTCAGCTGTCTAATTCTATTTTCTCATATTTTTTTCACAGAAATTGATCCTACCGAGAAGCCAACCATGAACCTACATCATGACAAACAAAGCACGTCACCCTATCTCAGGTGAAAAGATGCATTGTAAGAATGAATAAATAAATAAATAAAATGTATAAAACTATGCAAATGATTCACGTTTTCAATGATGATTGTCAAAATTTTTGCATCATATATTGCGTAGTGTTCACATTTTCGACTTCAAAGTATTTGTTTTTACATTGCTACAATGTACATCAGCAAATTTAAGAAGAAACAATGAGTAGCCTTTTAAAACTGCAGTAAAATTCTGAATCGATTGAGTGTGTAAGACCCACTGTGATAAGGTATCATTGAAAGTCACATTTACTTCGTGAAGCAAGAAACAGGTGTGATTCGTATTTTTGTTTTGTTTTAGTACATTTCGTAGGCCGGTATTTAAAATCTTGAATGGTTTGCTAACGCCGGCTTTTCTGATGATATTCCTTAAAAGTGAGAAGATATGTAATAATAGCAAAACGGCATTTCCTTTCGTCATGCGTTACGTGGTTGTAATATCGTGTAGTGAATACTGTATGTCATACTGTAGCATCAAATACATGTAGAGTAACGAAATATCGAAAATATCACATATATATATATCATAGGTTGATCACAATGTTGTAATAGGTATTTCATAGAGCGAAAATAACATGGGTTTAGTGTATATCATATGTGATATTGACTAAATATATTGATACTGCAAAAAGATCACAAAGTTGTCATCTGTATCAAATAGTCGCAAAGTTGGGAGATTTTGAAAACATCACCAAGATCTAATGTATACAGCATGTGGTGTGAAAAAATCATAAACATCAATATATGTATGGTGACATAAAATATTGTGAGGGAGGGGCCTTTGTGGGGCTACTCCGTATTTAGGAGCTGGGATCTTATCTTTAGTACAGGTCTAATAATATATATTTCTGGTAGCGTGGTTATATTATAAGTCTTCTTCTTTCAGCTCGTCTGCTGTCACGGGGTGGGGATCGTTTTGTGAAACTATATCAACAATTGAGACAGTGCAAAGGAGGAAATATACCGGTAACGAATACAATAAATCAAAAGACACAATATATCATGTTTTCCTCACTTTAATATATAAATACGGGGTGCTAGTCACTGGAACCAGCAAGGCATGGGTATATGCAGTAACCAAATAAAACTTAGGACCTGATCGATGCTGCAGGGAACACTCCGGTGAGCAACAATGTACATTGTTGCATTCATTCGTGTCTGATACACTGTCGAAGCGGCTGCATTACAATTTAAGCTCGTGCTGTTGTCCAGGGAGAATCGGCAACTGCACTGTGTCTGCTGCTACTAGTAGCACCGGTACAACGGGAGCATTTCGGGCAGCGAGCGTCAGTGGTTCCTTTTGATCAGCAGGGACTACTGCGAAGCACGTCTGCATATCTACCCCTGAATAGGGTACAGCTCACTGGAGTTAAGAATCAGCATCACAGGATATTACAGAATCAAGTCAGGTCACCTTCCTGACTAACGATTTTCACACTTATCTTAACCTAAATACTACAAGTAAATTATGGCCATGCGAACAATAAAATGTAGCCAATGATTAGATATCTCGATATAGCGGACCAATCAGTGTATAGAGAATGCCAATTTTGGTAGTGAAATAAACCCCTTTTTATCCAAGCTCAACAATTTAAAGTATCCGACTCGGGTCAATGATGTCATATGTATTTTTATTGCCAACAACGCTAGGCTCAGCACAATCCAAGGTATTTCACAATCACCATGGACTATCTGAGACATACCATTAAGCCACAGGAAGGGACGGGGTGTATGTATCTCAAATTTCGGTGACAATACAATCCAGTGACTGTAACAGCAGTCTAAACATAAACATGTACAATGTCTTAAATTACCAGCCAGAGTTGAGAATGATGACTTACCCCGCTTGTATTGGATACCAAAATCACATAAAACACCATACAAGGAAAAATTTAATGCCGGTTTTTCTAATTGTTCAACTAAAGAATTGTCTAAAACATTAACTACAATACTGTCTGCCATTGAAGAAGGATTTCAAAAGTACTGTGACACTGTCTTCTCCAGGAGTGGCGTAAATCACATGTGGATATTGCACAATTCTAAAGAACTTTTGGAAAAACTCAGATCTAGATTTTATCTGAAATAAAGTCTATTAAAACATTCGACTTTTCCACGTTATATACTACAATACCACATGGTAAATTGAAATCACGATTGATAGATATTGTTCAATAAGCATTTTTTTTATGAGAATGGTTCTCGGCGATATAAATATAGGCGATCCGCTCCGCTAGGATTGCCCTTATAATCACTTTTGTCGTTTTGTGTGTGTGTCTGTATGTGTACATTTATTGGCGATCCGCTCCGCTAGGATTGCCCTTATAATCACTTTTGTTGGCGATCCGCTCCGCTACGATTGCCC